GGGGGGAGAGAGAGAGGTGTTTCTTGGGGGTTTTGTTTGTTTGCTTGTTTCTAAAGAAAGGGCATGGAGTTGGGTAGTTCTAGGAAGGTGGGGAGGATCGGGGAGGAGTTGAGGAAGGGGAAAAGTGTGATCAAAATACATTGTCTGAAAAAAAACTTTGAAAAAATAAGTTTTAAGGCTAAAAAAATAAAAATAAAATAAAATGGGGGAGAAAAAAATGGTGAGTGGAGTGACCTCTTCTTGTAATTACAGCTCTGAGGAGACAAGTCAGGCTGATCCTGGGTTTGCTGGCCAGCCAGTTCAGCCTCCTCAGTGAGTTCCAGGTCAGTGAAAAACCCTGTCTGAGAAGAAAAAGATGGACCACCCAAGGTTGGCCTGTGACCTTCACATAAACACATAAATACACACACACACAGAGAGAGGGGGGGGACTTTGTATTGGATGATTTCACCCAATTTAGGGTAACCTGCATGCCAAGGAAGGCCAGCCTAAGCTATGATCTTCATTAGATTATGTGTACAAATGCACTTTCTACTTGTAATATTTTCAACTTACCATGAGTTTATCAGACCACAACCCCATCACAAGATGAGAAGCGTTTGTGTGACTGTGAGTACGAAACTCAATTTATCCCTCAACTATTTTCTCAGTTATCTTTACTATCCATCCATTCATGAACGAGCTCATCCATGGAAGCCCAGAATCCTCCAAGTCCACAGCTTCATCAACTATTGATACTGTTAGTTCACTCAAGGTGTCCCTGTAGTCATCAATGCCTCCCACCAATGCTCCCCTCCCTCCTGCTCTAAAACATCCCCTTATCTACTGGCCATCTCCTCCACGCTCAGTGTCATCCCATTCATTTAAATTCTCCGACACCTCTTTCCCACACTCTCCCAAAAGAGAAAACTGTAAACTTCCACCATGTTGTTAGGGACAAGCTCTCTTCCTCCATCTACTCTTTTTCCTCTCTATTTCTCAGAAGCTTTCTTAGCTGCCAACAACACTACATCATCTTCAGGGCTGTGTCTTATTCTTCTTTCTATCGTGATATCCAAGAGAAGAGTAGACACATTGCACTATTTCACCAAATTAGTGTTACAATTATTATTATTAAGCAAAAAAAAAAAATGGAGTCGTCCTAAAATTACCGTTTCTGACTCTGCTTAGAGAAGTCATAAATACATACACTGGTCTAGAACTAAAACTTCTAGACCTTTCCAGTGTCACCACTGCTTCCTATAAAGTATCTCTGGCATTGCAAGTAAACTAGTCTTTGAAAACCCTACATTGTTCATCAATCTTACAAAGGGGTCAGTTACCTCCCCTAAGGAAATGTAAACTCAACACTCACACTTGCTGCCTGAGCATTATTGACACACCCAATTCCAGTTAAGTGCTCACACAGCCCTAGGGTTTCTGGGCTACACTTCATTCCCAGTTACATGAGGAAAACTGGGTTTCTTTCTTTTTCTCGATTTAAATTTTAGCTGATAAGTAAAGTTAGGTTTGCAAGGAGCTCCATGATAAGTGGGCATATTATCATGCAAGGTTTTATTTATGAGACAATTGAAATGTATCTTTCCTAGCATTGGAAAATATTGCCTGCACACCAGGGAGCCTGTGTAAGAAAGCTGTAAATCTACCGTGAACTATGGATGGCAGACTGCAGCATGTTCTCCCACAAAGTGGCCCTCTAGAAAGAATTGCATAAACTATGATAAGTGAATACACTTAAAAACAAAGACATACAGAAAATCGTCCGACATGCCCACACATTATCTCTGTAAAAGAAGACAAAGACCTAAAGAGTGTGTGTGTGTGTGTGTGTGTGTGTGTGTGTGTGTGTGTGTGTGTGTATTTTTTTTTCTTGGCTCCTTTCTTATGACCAAAGATGCTAAGAGACAGCACCAGGTGCATTCCCTCACTGTACATGTATTTGCTGAGGTGAACTATAAGTGTCGCCTCATGTCTGCTTGCTTTAATAATAAAAATTAAAAGTGCTTTGTTTGCTCTAAAGAGTCCCCTGGCTACCCTACACCGATCTTTGGCATTTCCTTCAATCCTCAGAGACTTAGCCTCACCGGCCTGGGTGGGACACCAGCACATATTCTCAAAGTCCTCCCACATTTACTCCATGGGACGGTACAGGGAAGAGGATGAAGAAATGGCCCGTAGTGGCGATGTTCAGTGGACAGGATGAAGATTGAGACACGCACCAGAGCCACACAGGGAGTGGGTGACATAGGCAGATTTGTGGGAGGGGAATGTGAGTCTGGTGATAAAAGCAGCTACATTCAGCGTCAGTGAGCCTGCTACACCAAGCACGCTGAAGGACCCCGGAACAACGCACCCACATTCTGAGTGCTCACAAGAAGACAGAGATCTAAAGTTTTTAATACAAAATCACCCTGACGTTGCCAAGTGTTTCAGTTGCTTTTGTTATAACTGTGCTAAGAAGGACTGCACAGAGGAGCAAAGGTTGCTCACATTCTTGCAAGTAGGGAAACAGAGATCCTCAGATTCCACCCCTGGCCACCTATCTTCTCTACCTAGGCTCTGCCTCCGAAAGGTTGCATAGTCTCCCCAAACAGTGCTGCCAGTTGGGGATCCAGTATTTACATACACACACACACACACACACACACACACACACACACACCAACAACAACAACAACAACAAGTGGTTCAAATTATGAAACAAAAACTCTTAGCCAATCAAATACAGCATGTAGGGCTGCCAATGTGTGATTTCTAGTATATACCATACCAAGCTGGAGAAATATTCAAAGATCTGTAAAGCAACAATATACTCCTAAAACTGAATCCCTGACTCACAACTTTTAGTAACCAGATTTCCCTGTTAATTTTCTTTATCTGAATAATGATAATGACATGACGAGGAACAGCTCAGACGTAGTCTAGGAAGATGGCTGACTGTGCTTAGCATGCAAGAATGAGGACCTGAGTTCCAATCCCCAGCACCCACAGAAAAGCCAGGCATGGCGGAGACTGTTTGCAACTCCAGGAGGATCCTAGGAGCCCAGCATCAGCCATTCTAGCCAATCAGTGAGCTCCAGCTTCAGTGAGAAACCCTACCTCAAAAAAATAAGATGGAGAGTAACAGAGGAAGAAACTCAGATGTCAGGCCTCCATGCATGCACATGTTCAAAGTAAAAGAAAAAAAGACCCTCTAGTTTATATCAAACTTAATTATAATAAATTACATTAGCAGTGGGTATCATTTTAAAATTCATACTGTCATCACTAAAAGTGGTGGTTGGAAAAAATAAAGTATTTGTAATAAGCAAAAAGCACTTTAAAAAGTTCAACGGTACGAGAATTCAGAATTGGTTGGGACAGAATGAAATACAATTACTCTGCATTAGAAGAGGTGGGCTACGTAAGGAAGGCTGGATGAACATTCACTACCACAGTGGAATTTTGTGTCCAGCCTGCCAAAGAACAGGAACCTGCTGGAACCAGCTGAAGTAGGGCTGGTGAAACAGCGCCCCCTACTGGACACCGGCTAATGCACACTGTAATGTAAGTTTTATAATGCAAATCTCACAGGATCTTCAGTAAAATCTCCATTTCCTCATTTTTCTTAATCCAGTGGGGAAGGGGATGAAGCACTGTTTTCCCGTTCAAGGCTGGTCTAACACAGTTACACAGGAGACCGGGAACACCAGCCCAAATCCACACTACACAGAGGATCTGCATTCCCCTTGTGTGAATGTTTGGACCTCAGGACAATGACGGAAGACAACCCTGCGCGCGTCCTGAAAGCATGAAACCCTCCTTAAAACAGGATTGAAGTGTTTCAGAATACAAAACTCGAAACGTCTCAAATCTGCTGTTCCAAATGATCTCCGAGAGGTAAACGATGACTTCCCTGAAGGTCTGTAATGAGGATTTCAAAATTAAATCGCCTCTTGAACATTTTTAAAACCCTTCAATAAACTTCGGTACATAACGATTCTTTCAGGACATAGGTAGGTCCAATACAGGTTTTTTTCCGAGCTGATGTAGAGAGAAATTACTTTGGCTGAAGAACTTGAAATATTTTCAAACATTTATCTTCTCGCTTCCAGGCTACTTTAAAAGCATATAAATTGGGTTGTCTTCAAGTTGAGTTCTTTGCAACGGTGTCTCACTGGAAATGGTACATTTGAGTCAAGCAGCCCAGGCTCCTGTGAAATGCATCCCCCTTCCAGAAGGTGGGAGATGGCCTGTCTGGTTACGATGTTCCTTTCGTGTGCACACTTTCCTCCTGGGAGTTAACTGGAGTTGGTCTCATGACACACCACTGACTGCATTCATGCATGAGCACAGAGCCATCTGTGTGTGTGGATCTTTGCTTCCTCTCCAAGCATGTTTTCTTTACAGAAGAATCAAAGTCTTGAATGCCACAGGCCACCTACACTTCATCTTCCTATTGTGAAACTTCAGGAGCTGGGTCACTACCCTTGATTATACGCAGCCACCATGACAACGCCTGCTGGGAGCACTGTGGCCATGTGGCCCTCCCTAAAGAAACTGCTTTCCTTATGCTCATAAAATAAAATTAAACTGAGCCAGGCAGTGGTGGTGCATGCTTTTAATCCCAGCACTCAGGAGGCAGAGTCAGGAGGATCTCTGTGAGTTCGAAGCCAGCCTGGTCTCCAGAGTGATATCCAGGACAGGCACCAAAACTACACAGAGAAACCCTATCTCGAAAAAAACCAAAAATAAATAAATAAATAAAATTAAACTGAAACAAAATTCCAGTCAACATTTCAAGACCTCATTATGATTATGTATAAAGCATAGACAAAGAATCTGAGAGATGAAAATTCTCTACACATTTTTCACTGCACCACGACAATAAAACAACAAAACAAAGAAAAAAAAAACACACAGTATTTTGGAAAACAACTAACCTGAATTATTTATCTTAGAAAGTGATGTTAAAAAAATCAAAAATAAAGATTCTGAATGATGTTTTCAACGGCACTCACCAATCACAATCGAAGACTCACAGTGGTAATAACCATGGCTTTGTTTTTTCTTCAGCATGGAGCAGAGGTCTATCCGGTCCAGTACTTCTTCTCCAAATCTGTGGTTGATAAACTGCTCATACAGTTCAGGCTCTATTTTTTTCACTCCCTTGAAATGACAAAACAAAACCACGCCAATCAACCATTTCACTGGGACAGTCAGTTCATAGTTCTACCAGTCTCTCAGAACCTGAGCTTACATTTTGGAGTCAGGACTGCCTCCTGGCACCTGAAAACAGAGGCCACAGAACTGCCGTCGAGTTGTGTTTAAAGTCTCCAGGCCTGGGATGGGCAGTATTTAAAGCCACCAGTTAAGAGTGCTGATTTGATGGGGTAGCACTCGGACCCTCACACTTCTTTACGTTTCAGACTAAGGAAGCATGTGATGATTCAGTATCAAGGACAGAGTAACCATGTGCAACAACAGGTGTGTGCATGAACGATTTTAAAATGATGCATATCTTAGAATGTTGTAGTGAGTTCTGATAACACTAACTCATATTATTTAAGCCCTTACATAAAAGTCACCTGATGACAAGGTGATTTGAACTGGGACAGTGAGACCAGCGGCCCCTCTGGATTTTTCTCCATCTGCCTCTCCTTGTTCTCAATACAGCAGAGGCAGCTGGGTGCTGAAACTGTAGTGAGGTACTCTTGGTACTACTGCAGTTACCCAGCAGGAAATAACACCCCTCCCCTTCCCCAGCACTACGCAGTATCCTGACATCTCAGCCTAAGTCCCAAGACACTGTCTATGAGTTTCACTTTTTTACTAATTTTTACTTTTTAACTAATAAAAGCTTCCCCTTTTGCTAATAAAAATTCATAGAAAATTTTAAATAAGGACAGGAAACCATGTGATTTTGTTCTGTTTCACTTTTTCCTGTGCAAATGAAAATGACTTTTTACTTTTTACCTGAATTTGGTTTTCTCCCCAGTACGTCTTGAAAGCTGGTTCCCTTATTTCAGTAAGTATGCCAAGTCAATAGTAATATACAGATTGGCAAAATGCTTTTGTCTCTATGTGCTCCACTGTATGAAGTATCATGTTATTTAATTCAATAGGCCGCTGCCCTTAATATCCAATGGTATAGTAAAACATGCGTGTGTTCTATGTTTATACCAGCCTCCTGCTCTTAACTGCTTCCCTCCCCCCACCATGCACACACTTATATCCTTCCTAACTCAGTTTGGTAATTCTATTCTACCTGTATAGGCTGGAAGCTTTGGGCATATCCTTGATAAAATCCAATACCCCTTCATAATAAAAGTCCTAGAGAGATTAGGGATACAAGGGACATACCTCAAAATAATAGAGGCAATTTACAGCAAACCCACAGACAACATCAATGTAAATGGAGAGAAACTCAAAGCACTTCTACTAATCAGAAATAAGACAAGGTTGTCCAGTCTCTCCATACCTACTCAATATAGTACTTCAAGTATTATCTAGAGCAATAAAACAACAGAAGGATATCAGTATCAAAGAGATATACATAGGAAGTCAAAGTATCTTTATTTGCAGATGATATTATAATATACGTAAGTGACCCTAAAAATTCAACCAGGAAACTCCCTACAGCTGATAAACATTTTCAACAAAATAGCAGGATACAAAAGCAATACACAAAAATCAGTAGCTCTCCTATATGCAAATGACAAACAGACTGAGAAAGAACTCAGGGAAACACTTTCACAATAGTATCAAAAATAATAAAATATTTTGGAGTTAACTCTAACCAAGAAAGTGAAAGGCTTGATTAATAAAAAAAAATTGAAGACAGTAAAGAAAGAAATCAAAGAAGATATCAGAAGAGAGAAAGATCTTCATGGGCCAGTAGGATTGATACAGTAAAAATGGCCGTTCTACCAAAAGCAATCTACAGATTCAATGCAATCTCCTACAAAATTCCAGCACTATTCACAGAATTGAAAGTATAATTTTCAGTTACATACAGAAACATAAAACCCCCAAGGTAGCTAAAACAATCCTGAATAATAAAAGAACTGCTGGAGGTCTCACCATTCCCAATTTCAAGTTGTACTACAGAACTATAGTAATAAAAACATACTTTTTTCTAGAAGCATAAATATTTATTTGTAACAAAGGAGTTTGTATACAGTGTTGCAAAACATACTTTTTTATTGCCTGGTATTGGCACAAAAAAGATATGTTGATCAGTGGAATTCAATTGAAGACCCAGAAATAAGTACACACACCCACGGACTCCTATAATTTTTATAGAGAAGCCAGAAGCACATATTAGGGGAAAAAAAGACATCATCTTCACTGGATGGCTGCACACAGAAGAATACAAATAGGTTCATACCGATCACCCTGCACAAAGTCCAACTTCAAATGGATCAAGGAACTCAACATAAGTTCAGACACATTGAACCCGATAGAAGAGAAAGTGGGGGACGTCTTGAACACACTGGTGTGCACAAGAGACAACTTTCTGACAGAACACCAGTAACACCAGCGCTAAAAACAATGATTAATAAATGGGACCTCATAAAACTGAAAAACTTCTGTATGATAAAGGACACTGTCGTTTGGACATAGCAGCAGGCTATAGAGTGGGAAAAGACTGTTACCAACTCCACAGCTGGTAGAGGACGTGTGTGTGTGTGTGTGTGTGTGTGTGTGTGTGTAATATATAAAAAACTAGACATAAGAAAACAAATAACCCATTTAAAAATTGGAGAACAGATCCAAACAGAGAATTTTATTTTAAGTTTTTATTTTTTGGTTTTTCTGAGACAGGATTTCTCTGTGTAGCCCCAGCTGTCCTGGAACTCACTTTGTAGACAGGGCTGACTTCAAACTCACAGAGATCTGCCTGCCTCTGCCTCCCCACCATTGTCCAGCTAAACAGAGAATTCTCAACAGAGGAATCTCAAATGGCTGAGAAACACTTAAAGAAATGTTCAACATCCTTAGTCACCAGGGAAATGCAAATCAAAACTACTTTGAGATTTCTTCTTACACCAGTCAGCTCCATAAAACAAATGACAGCTTATGCTGGTGAATGTGGGGTAAGGGGAACACTCCTTCATTACTAGTGGGAGTGCAAATCTATATATATGTGATAGAAATCGGTGTGATGTCCTTCTTCAAGAAGCTGGGCAGAGATCTACCTCAAGATCCAGCTAGACCACTCTTGGGCATATATACCCAAAGGACATTTCACCTACTACAAAGACACTTACTCAACCATGTTCATTGCTGCTCTATTCATAATAGCCAAAGTGGGAAACAGCCTAGACGCCCATCAACGGATGGATGGCTAAAGAAAATGTGATACATTTATACAATAGAATATTACTCAGCTGTTTTAAAAAATGAAATCTGCAGGTAAATGGATGAAACTAGACAAAAACATCACAAGCAAGGTAACCCAGATCATACAAAGTAACATCTGGTCAGAGATCCAGGTCTATGGGAGACAAATACTGTATGCATTTGCTTATATGTGGATTTTAGCTGGTAAGTCTTCAATGAGCCAGCTACAATCCATATAACCACATAGGTTAGGTATAGAGTAAGGGACTGGGGGTGTGGGGGCGGATCTCCCTAAAATAGAAAAATAGACTACATAGTTATGGATGGATGTGGGTGGGGGCAACTGGAATGGAAGGACCAAATGGGGTCGGGGGAGAGAGGTTGAGGGAGGGAATATAGAAGGGACAGACAAAACTGAGAGCCATTTGGGGAGTCATATGTTAATCTAATGCAGTAGAAGCTCCTTAAAATATATACATGCATGAAAGCTCTCTAAATGAAATAGCCTAAGAACGGAGGAGATGGAACCCCAACTGGATATCTCTCATCACCAAATGAAGTTCCCAGTACTGAAAATGGGTTACATCTAATTGAGTTGTTGGTCAAAGGAGCCCCACTGGGAACCCCCAAACAACCCAGGGTACTGCCAGAGCTATTGGCTGTTCTCCAAAAATGGACAGTGAGACCCTATTGCTGAAGACAACGCTTATATAACTCATTGAACATGGAGAAGTCAGGCTGGTGCCTGCCTAGAGCCTTCAACCCTACTGACTAGTGTTCATGGTACTGGAAGGTACTGTGCACGCTACCAAAGGCGACCGGTAAACACCAACCCAGCTACAAAGCCTTCAACAGACTATGGTGACCTGCCTACAAGGTGTGTTAGTGCAGCAGTGATGCAAAGCTCGTGGGAATAACCAGCCGATACCTGATCGGATTTAAGGCCCACCCCATGGGATGAAACCTATCCCCAACACTGTCTGGACAGCCAAGGACATGAGACCAGATAGGCCAGGGACCTAGGGGAAAACCAAATACTACTGTTCTGCCGAAGGAACGTAGCAATGAAATGAATCGTAGTAACATTCTGCTAGACTCATAGACCAGTGCCTTCCTCACCCATCCTCAGTGAAGCTTCCTCCTGCAGCAGATGGGAACAAATACAGAGACCCACAGCCAGATAATGTGCAGAGCGTGAGAGACCGGTGGGACGCTCAGTCCCAACTAGGATGTCTCCATCAATTCCCTCCCCTGGGGGCTCAGGGAACCTTGTAGAACAGTTAGTGGAAAGGCTGTAAGATCCAGAGGGGATACAGAACACCAAGAAAACAGAGCCTTCTAAACCCAACAGGACCAAAGCACATAGGAACTCAAAGGAACTGTGACAGCAGACAGCATGCACAGGGTCCACAGAAGTCTGCACCAGATGGGATCCCAGCGCTGAAAGAACTGGCCACAGGCCCCCAGAAGCCATATCCAATTGATACCCACTCACAAAGGAAAAATCAGTCTTCTACAAGAGAGTCTCACTGGGTCTACAAATCACTGTGAGGGGAAGGCCCCGTGCCCAGCAGTAGATGGCCCACACAAGAGTAACTCAGTGGCATCTCTGGAGGTTCTCTGTCTCATGTCTAATGTTGTGTCAGGGCTTTTTTAAAAAAAAACCTTTGCATATGTATTATGGCCTCTGGGTTTGTTTGCATGGGTTCCCGTGCGTATGAACTAGTGAGTCGTTATGCTATGTGTGTTTCTTGTGCTTTATCTTCCGCTCTTTTTCTTATGTGTTTGTTTGGTCCTATTCTGGTTTGTTTTATTTTATCTTA